TCAGGCTCAGGCTTTCCAGAGTTCAAAGCCCTTGCAAACATATTAAATTGTCGCCCTCAAATAGCGGTAAGGCACTCTCTGTTAAAAGGCAATTTACCACTTCATGACACACACACACACACAACTCTCTGTTAAAAGACAATTTACCACTTCATGACACACACACACACACACACACACACACACACACACACACACACCCTCCAACGGTCCCACAAGGGCTGACACTGAGTTTCAGGTGGAGCAGTTCTACTAATGAGTCCATTGGTCATTCTTTGGAAAAAATAAATAAATAAACAAACAGAATCATCTCAATAACAAACAGATGGACTCCCTGCAAGAAACTTGCATGGGGGTGGGGGGAAGAAAAAAAAAACTTCTTTGCACACGCATGTACACAACTGGCTAACTATCAACCAAATCGCCGAGCACCCACCCCCAGTTAACTCATTTAGAATCATCTCAATAACAAACAGATGGACTCCCTGCATGAAACTTGCATGGGGGGCGGGGGGGGGGTCGCGAACTTCTTTGCACATGCATGTACACAACTGGCTAACTACCAACCAAATCGCCAAGCACCCACCCCCAGTTAACTCATTTACTGCGCAACGTAAGAAGGGAAATCCTCAAGGGCGATCGCAAAAAAAATCCCGTCCGCAGAGATCCTCCTGAAAAGAGGAACACTCACACACACACACACACACACATGTACAACACAACAGCGACAGTAGATCCACACATGCACATACCACAAAGATGAGCGTTGGCAGTGAGTTTGCTCGAAGTAACCACCCGTCTATCTCAGGGGGCGGGGCAAACTTGGAGGGCCGTTAGGACAAAAAAAAAAATCCCGTCCGCAGAGATTCTCCTGACAAGAGGAACACTCTCACACACACACGTACAATACAACAGCGACAGTAGATCCACACAAGCACAAAACCCAGGGCCATACCACAAAGATGAGCGTTGGCAGTGAGTTTACTCGAAGTAACCACCCGTCTACCTCAGGGGGCGGGGCAAACTTGGAGGGCTGTTGTGATTCTGAATTTTGTAAAACCATATAAATGTTTAACCACCTCCACATAGTATGATATACACGGCGAACAACAAATTGATGGATAACTAGTTTTGAAATCAGAAGTCAAGAATAATGGCTTTGTTCTTATGGATTGCATGTGACAATTTTACATTTTGTTTCGTGGAAGTTATCCTGCTTGATTTGCTTTTGCGGGCCACATAAAATGACGTGACGGGCCAGAACTGGCCCCCGGGCTTTGGCTTTGACACCAGTGGTCTAACTAATCAATCAGCTAAGCTAACAACTAACCCCTCGGCTAACAAATCAACCATTCTGCCAATTAACCAGTCAAGGAACCAACCACTTAACCATCCAAACAACCAACTATGTAACCAACCAACAAGCTAACGGAATAACCAGCCATCCAAACAGTGAACCAACCAGCTAACCAACCAACCAAACAACCATCCATCATATAGCCAGTTTGGTTTACCAACATTACATTTGGTAGACATGTCAACGATAAATAGACCCACCAAAAAACACCAAGAGGTCAGCCATTTTGGTTCAAAGCGGCCATCTTAAGCTCACGCTGGCCATTTCCGGGTTGTGCTCAAACACAAAGGCGTCCTTTAGCTTTTGTGACCAAATTGCTTGTTGTTCTACAAGACCGATGGCCGGGGCTGAAATTGGGAAACCATTGACTTTCTGTCATTGCGTGTGGGCTGAGCACGGCGGCAAAGTTACTTCTACGTGTCACTTAGAAGGCGAGTCCATGAAGAATGAACATACGCAAGGTCACCGTGTACAGCTCGTTCCGCTCCCTGTTGTGGTTGATGACCGAACAGATACGCGCGTTGTCCTCACACCATCAAGAGACACGCTCGGCGAGATACGATAAGAAAAAAAAAAAAAAAGCCACCTCATATTTCATCACAGACGCCGCACTGCACATTAGACACGAGACACAAGGAAGAAATCAGCGGGAATGGGACGTCGGGGGGGAAAAGAATCGTGCTCCTAATAAGCCGCCATCAAAGGACCGACAGACCTCCAACATCGGCGAGAATGTTGTCTTCAAGAAATGGAGACAACATGCGCGTTATTTCACCTCATTCACAAATACAGAAACACAAGAGGCCACAAAATCAGGGGGGAAAATAAATCAATAAAAATTCACCTTCAATATGTCTTAAAAGTAGTTCGGCCGACTATTAAGTCAGTATCAATATGAGGCTGCGACATGTTTTTCTTATTTTTAATAGAAATATAATTCCATTTTTCCCCCGCAAAGGCTTTCATTCTTATACTGTAACATCTGATCTTAAAACAGTAGCGCGCAGGTTTCATTGTGGAAGAAAGAAGTCAGGCATCAAGAAGCAAACAAGGAGGCTCTCGAGACTGGAATTGAAAGCGGATGGTTCATTTCGCCGACGACTGTGCCATCTGCGTGAAAACCTTTCGAACGCCTCCGTGTCCGTACGCACGCCTCATTAGCCACCAAAATACATTCACGGCCAAGCCGCCTGCAAAATCACCGAGCCTTCTTCTTGCCAACAATTGGACCCGAAAGTGTCTTTTTTGGTTCCCTTCGCTCAACAGCATTAGCCGCTATCGACATTAGCATCAGTAAGAAGGTAAAAGCATTCGATGCAAATAGTGGTTTCACCCCGAAGGAACCCATGTCAATGCATTATGTATCTGTTAAATCATAAGATTTGCTCGCAAATGGGCCACAAAAAAAAAAAAGTGTTTTTGTTTCCTAAATAGGACAGACTCTACTCTAGCAGGCTAGTTAACCAGATAAATGCAATATGGTCACAGAAAATCATTGGACTTACTACCCCCAAAAAATCCCCCCAAAAAGTGACATTTTGATAAAAAAAAATATTGGTTCAAAAAGGAAGTGGTAATGTGGAGTTCGGAGTATTGGAGCACTTGTAGGGAAAAATAATGAAAAATGGTGGCAAAGAAGAAAACTATCCTTTTTCCTGGCGCCACGCTCCACAAAAAATTCGCTGACTCCGCAGACACTTTCTCCACCTGTGCACTCTTCTCACGGACAGATGCTATTTCTCACTTTATGACCGTTGTTCCCCCGCCGCCATCATGTCCCACAACAATATGCCGGCGGTGGAAGCGGCTGGAAAACATCCGTCATTCCGCCATGACTTGGCTTTTTCACTCCAACGAGACTCATTTATGAGCCAAAGTTGGAATCGTGTCACGGCGTGGCCCAGAAAGTCAGGCCCAAAACAAAAAATCGGATGAAGCCACCATCCTGCTCGCCATCTACTTTTTAGCGCTCGTCCTCACCAGGGTGGCGGCTGGGCTAGAGTTTATCCCTGAGAGATGTGGTATGCCCTGGACTGGTCGCCAGCCAATCAAATCTGCTGTGGGCCCACAAATGGACATGATACAAAACGTAATTTTGCTACACAAAATCCATCTCACAGTGTCTGATTCTAATTTTCGGATGGGCAACTGGCAGCTCTTCTGCAGCTTTGATCAACCAATCAGACAAGAGAAAAATGCTGACTTAATTTCTTAGAGGCAGATTAGATTGACATGGTAACACATTAAGGCTGAACTCTGATTGGACAAAAACAACCTCCCCCCCAAAAAATAAAAAATCATTCGGTCCACATTGACCATGTTTTGTTGGTTCAGACATTCGAAATGAAGAAAAGTTTGCGTTGAAGACCAAAAAAGCAGGTAGAGTAAAAGAAAGACCAAACAAGCATTAAAAAAAAAAACGTTATCCAACAAAAGTTTGCGTTCAAGATAAAAGCAAAAATTTGAAAGACAAATTTACCCAATAGAATTTTGCGTTAAAGACCAACAAAAAGCACAAAAGGTTGAGCTTTAGTTTCAAATTTACCAAACAAAAGGGAGGGGTGAGTGAAAAAGAAAAATTCAACCACACAAAAACATTGTGCTAAAGATCATTCTTTACACCGATCTGATGGGCTCGATCAGATTGACAGATATTTTGCATTTTAAAATGGCCAATCGGCTGTCACGTCAGAATTTGCTGATCCATCAAGGACAACATTGGATCAGCAAAACAAAAGGTTGCAATAAACACGATCTCATTCACTCCGGGGACATTTTGTGTTGCCATTATGAATAAACCAAAGTTTCTCTGCACTGATTTTTTTATTTTTTTTTTATTTTTCAAGAATTTAGAATTATTTTCCGTGTCTTGAATGTTTGTCCAGGGTTCAAATTCGTACTCCGACCTTCCTGTCTGAAGTTTGCATGTTCTCCCCATGCCTGCGTGGGTTTTCTCCGGGTACTCCGCGCATGTTTTTGGAATGCGGGAGGGAATCCCGCATTCCAAAAACATGCGCGGTCGGGTCATTAAATACTCTAAATCGGGCCTAGGTGTGACTGTTTTGGGCTCGTACTGATCGTACGCTCTTCTGCTCGGATTTGTTTTCATTTTTTTTAATGGTGATAAAGCCCAACAAAATTACCCAACAACGGGTTGCATTGTAAGAGTAAACGTAGCTTATGTTGACTTGAACCCATCCTGCATGTCAATTTTTTTTCCATCCACCTGCACAAGCTTAATAAGGTCCAAAACAAAATAGATGCCATTCACATTTTTTGCCGCAGGCCATAAAACAACAATTCCATGTGTTGCACATGTTTACGATGCATTATGCATATGGACATTATCAATGCGGGATGCCTTCTGACTTCACCACACACACACAGGTGCGCAAGGAGGGTGCATTATCTACGATGTTTATTCACCAGCTGACGTTCTTTTGAATGAGTCGGATTGCCTCTGCTCTGCTGCGTCTTGTTTACATGCGCACGACGCGCGCGTCTGAATGCTAAGATTGTGTGTGGTGTATACGTGAATGTGTTCTCGAAGAGATGTAATTCCCCTTCCTGGCAGAAAATCCCATTGTTTTGCCGCATAAAAACCGCCGAGCGAGTGCAGTCGCAGCTTGTTTTTTTTTTTTTTGGAGGGGGGGCTTGATTTAATCAATATGCTGCTAAAAATTCATGCACGCCCGCGCTAAGAATGCTCAATGCGGGTTTGTCTTTTCCAGTCATTTTTTTTTCTCTCCATACGGTAAGCGTTCTTGCAGAAAGACGCGAAATCCAGCATCTCCTCACCGCTCCTTTATGTGCATACTTAAGCCGCTCTCATTGGACGCGGAAAGAAAGGCAAGAAAATGTCGAGAACATGGTGTGCTGGCATGCCTACAAGAAGGGAAACGGTGCAGTTTGGACTGAAGAATTGGGACACCTCAGAGAAGCCAAAAGTGGAGAAAATGCGGGTAAAAGAAGCGGGACACCTCAGGGAAGCCACAAGTGGAGAAAATGCGGGTAAAAGAAGCGGGACACCTCAGGGAAGCCAAAAGTGGAGAAAATGTGGGTAAAAGAAGCGGGACACCTCAGGGAAGCCACAAGTGGAGAAAATGCGGGTAAAAGAAGCGGGACACCTCAGGGAAGCCAAAAGTGGAGAAAATGCGGGTAAAAGAAGCAGAACACCAAAGGGAAGTTGAAAGGTGGAGTTTGGAAAAAAAAAGTATTGGGACGCCTACGTAAATTGGAAAAATGATGAAATAGTGGGCAAAAGTATTGAGACACACGTTAGAAGAGAAAATTGGTGAAAATGGACAATTTTGGCAAAAGTATTGGGATGCCAATGGGAAGAAACAAAAGTTGCACAAAAGCATTCATACACTAACGAAGGACAAAATGGAGGAAAAAAGTGTTTGTGGAAACCGGAAAAGTATCTGGACAGGCAGGTGGTGAAAATGTGGAGTTTGACGCAGAGGAAGCGCTAACTGTCAATTGCATGCTAATTAGCATAACTGGTGGACATTTGCCGCAAGATGAGATGTTTGATAATAACAAACACGGCGCTGAAGAGTCACCCTGTTCCACGCGAGAAATCTGACATCAAGGAGACGTGAGTGGGTCATTTTTTGTCAACATCAAGATGAATGCCCCTCGCCCCCCTCCCCCACCCTCCAACCTCCAGATGTCCTCCACATCATCGTGTGCATATTCCATTAGTGAGCAAAAATGGATGCGCATTGTTTTGCTTCATATCAGGCATCGCGGCCACGCCGGGTCATTAATTCCCGCGATTGGAATCGGAGCGCGGCGACAAAACGGCCCCCAGAAGGCTCGACAACTGAAAAGGAGCCACCTCAGAGCCAGCTTATGCGAGAGCCGAGCACAAAAGCGGCATGGAGTGGCGGGCGTCTCGCAAGAAAGGAGACATCCGCAGCACGCTTTTGTTTTTCTGAGACTCAAAACGCGAAGAAGCCGCGCGGCGAGGCCTCAAAAAGTGTCGTCGGCTGACAGCTCAGCGCTGCTGTGTTGGGAGGAAAAGATGACTTGCTGGAGGGTGGTGGGAGGGGAAGAGTGTGAAGACTAAAGATGAGAAGGAAAAAAAAAAAACGATGACAAAAGTGATGGGTTTCGTCTGCTTTCTTCCGCACTTGAATGCTGCCTTACTTTACGCTCACTTCTTGTCATATAAACAATGGATCAAGTGTTCAGGTATAAAAGAAGGGCGGGAGGACATCACAGAGCATCCAGCATCATGCAGTGCGCGCGCGCGCGCACACACACACACACACCCCCAGACACCGACAGTGCCCCTCAAAAGTATTGGGACGGCAATGGGTCAATTCCTTGACCGTGCTGTTCCAATTCTTTTGAAGGGGACACGACTTTGGATTCTAATAGATGATGGAAAGCAACTTCCCTGATCCACAATGACAGAATTTCCTAAAATACAACTTGTAGTATCATACCATCAACCACATTTGTTTTTGAGGATGAAGTGAACAATATCGCTTGCAAGATTTGTACAACCTAAGCGCTGCATGAGCACATTTTTCTTTTCTGACTCTCTGGTGGCATCTCTGCAAAGGGCACCCCCCACCCCCCATCTCTAAATCAGCCACGAAGGAAACTCAAGTTCCTTAAAAACACACACACACACACACACACACACACACACACACACACACACACACACACACACACAGAAAGGTCACACCATTAATACATTTTGTTTGAGCGGAAAAAACTTGCTGGCCAAATGTCAACACTCATGTTGCTCTGAACCCAGGCCCCACACCCCACGCCCCAAACTCCTTAATCTCAAACCGATTCTCGGCTCACTACTCACATTTTTCAGGGATGAGAATGACAAAACGTTGGAAAAACATATCGTTGACGGGTGGATGGTTGTGTGGATAGCGACCATTTTCAGCCGAAACGCAGGGTTATGACTAATACTTGGATGGAAACGTTCTTATCGAATACTCGAAACAGATATAATTTATTTAGTCCCCATGTGGAACCTATCCCCAACTGTTCGCTGAAAATCTCACCGAGTCATGGCCTCTGTGCTTTCCATAATGTCCTAAAGTGCCACAAGATGGCGCCAAACAAACAGGGAAGTAGTACAGTAGTGATAATGATGACGCAGTTCTACAAAAAGACGAAGTTCTTTGTATGCCGGGGAGGAGAACCATGGGTTATGGCGTCTTGGACGCTGAGAAAAAGTACTTGCCCTCTTCTCAAAATTTCACCTTGCGTGCATTTTTACCAAATCAAATCATCAAACGAGCCATTTCAAAGAACCCCCCCCCCCCCAAATCCTTTCGGGAAGATTTTCAATCTTTTTTTTTCCCCTTTTAACCTTTCCAACACTTTAATTTCTCTCTTTTATTTTTTTTTTTTTGAGCAGCACGAGCGTGTGTGAAATAGCAGCAGGTCGGCAAACTCCTTTAGGAGTAATTAGCTGCGAAATATTGTTAGCATTTAATCTCGGCTGGCCTGACCCTCAGCAAAGACAAAAAAATCATAAAAGCATCCGAGCGTCATCTGTTTGCGTTTTTAGTGCTAATGAACAAACGCTGACGATGTTGTGTTGCCACTCGTCGGTTCAAAGTGTTAATTGCGATTAGAGTGAAAACTCTCCGAGATGCCTTCCTCTCTTATCGGCCGGCCCGTAAAAATTAACGGGTTATTAAACGATTCAATATCATCGTCGTAAAATAAAAAAAAAGAATGCTGCAAAAACAATAAAACCTCAAAAAGTATTCATTTAAAAAGTCAAACTTTTAAAGTCAATGCCATGGTGTCGGCGCGGGAGACGGTGGCTAAAGGTAATGACGCTAAGCGTGTACGGAAGCTAAGTTTGTGTTCACTTGTCAAGGTTAGCAAATAACAGGCTCATTTTTAAAATCTGTTACATGTGAATTTGTCATTATGAAATAAATACATATCGATTCTGAAAATAAATACATCAAAATGAGAACATGGCTTGTCATTAGCAGGCTCAATGGGTAGCTAACGTACGTTTTTACGAGGATACACCAACAATTTACCTATTGGAAATAAAAGAATCATCTTTTTGAGGGTCAAACGGTCATCCTTATCCCGAAAAATTCACCTTATTTATTGAATGACCCTCGTATAAATCCATTGACAAGGATTCTTCAGCCCGACTCGTTGTTTCTTGTAACTTTTGGGATGAAGAGAAACTGCAGATCATCTTTTTCCAAATGTGTCTCAGAGGTCTTTTATTGCAGTTTAATGGAGCCAGCAGCACTTTATTGTGACAACCTGTTTAATAATGTCACAATTCATGATGTCACAATCATCCGTTGACCCGACAGCTAAAACGTTGACGGCCGAGCTCAATGATCACAAGTGTTTTGTTTTCAGGCCTGATTTTTTTTTTTTTAAACTTCAGGCATTCTTCTTCTTATTGTTATATTTAAATTCTGTGTACAATACAACTTTCAAATCTCCCTCCCACTCGCACAAAAGTTGTACAAAGAATTCGGGGAAACCGATGGAAGTGTTCCAGTGAAAAGCAATTCATCAAAAGCTATTGTTAATGGATTTTAAAAAGAAAGAAAAAAAAAAACAGAAAAAAAAGAAAATCATAAAATAAAGAGATGATGGATGGAGTGTTTTTTAATCACACACATACAAAGCCAATTAAATAGAACATGATGCATTTATCTATTGAAAATTTGAAAGAATCAATCATATGATATTGTAACATTTTTTCCCAAGTACATATTTCATGACCGTTTTTCCTACATGGCTACTGGAATTTCTAGTTACCTAATACATTTTCATTTTTAGGACTTGTTTATGACATCTCAATGTAGTTGAATGAATTTTAAAATTATTTAACCATTTTTTTGTTCAATGACATAATTTTATGGCAATTGTATTTATCTATTTTCTTTTTTTAATCTATATTTACTGCACTTTTATTAATTTATTTCATCTTTTTATTTAATTGCATTAGCTACTACAATTTCTAATTACATACAGATTTTTTTTAATTACCATTTAATGAAATAGCATTTTAAATTGCATAATGTCATCATTTGAATATTTTCATGATACTTTCGTACTTAAATTCAAACAATCAATTTTATCATGAAAGTCCTGATAGGATACATTAATCTCCTTAAATACCTAAAAATGGAAATGTATAATGCCATAAAATAAGGTGGTCGTGAAAAAAACATATTTCTCAATTGAAAAAAATGAATTATTGCAGGTCTTAATGGATTTTCTATTTTAATTGTTGTTTTTAATTGGCTTCATATGTGTTTTATTTGGTGGCAACTCCATGAGGTGGAAGAGTTTCAGTAAATAAGATGTGTTCCCTTTTTGTTCCATTAAAAGTTCATCTTGGATCCACATTGAGCATTTCTCTTGGTCTCAGCAGGTTTGTGGGGTTTTTTTGTGTTGTTTTTTTGTTGTTGGTGGGGTGTTTTTTTTTTGGGGGGGGGGGGGTTGGTCCTTTAAGTTAGAATCCAGTGTCAGGAAAAGTAACCCAAAGCTAGTCCAAAGTGCAAAGAGTGGTTTTGGTCTCGTCAGATCGCCAGCGCGACCTGTCGTCCTCTACCTGCCGAATAGGTTGTCGTATTCCAGCAGGATGAGCTCCACAATCTGGTTCTGGTAGACCATGTGGACCGCCATGTTCCATGTCTCCATCTCAGGCTTCAGCAACGTTGGGCCGAACACGATGGCGACACTCTGGTTGGTCATGCGGTTCTCTTCGCCGTACTCAATCACCCTGAACACGCAAGACAGACAACATCATACATTTCGATCGATGGATATTTGGAAGCTTTCAAGTGGATGTGGAACAATTCAATGAGTTCCGATAGGGTCCGAGAAATCAAGTTAACCAGACCTGGAAATACAACAGGTTTAAAAGCCCATGGAACATGTTCAAGAACAAACTGTATATCTTATTTTTCCCGTACTTGCGGAGGTGTTTGAAGAGGGCCTGCATAGTGTCGTGGTTGGGCTCGGGTAGCTGCCGGACGAGTTCTTTAATGGCGTGGACCCGCTGCTTGTAGTCTGGAATCTCTGCGATTCGGCCGCCACCCCGCAGGAAAATGAAAAGATGATCAGTGACTGACAGTGACCGGTGGGATGAAAACAAGAGCACTGCTTGTGTAACGATTGCAAATATTGTGCTAATGGTTGCGTTGATTCCCTCTGGTGCGCTTAAGAGCAACACTCCAACGCAACGAAATGAAATTCGAGTCAGTAAAAAAAGTATATTACAATGTAAATACAAAGGTTTCTTCAAAGTCACCTGAATGGCTCAATTAGGTCAAAGAGAAACCGTCTAAGTATTTTGGGATATTAAATATATACAAAAAAAACCAATTTGATTACATATCTAAAGCAAGATTAAAAAAAAAAGTAAATATTAAAAAAATAAAATAAAAAAATAACATTTTGAATTTAGAGCCATGTGCAAAACAAGGCAAAAAAAAATTAGGAAAACAAAATATTGAAAGGATTTTAAAGTGTCCTATTAATCCATGTCATATTTTTTTTAACTTGCAAATGTGTTAAAAATAAAATAAAATTAAAAAATTAAACTCAACATGGAGCAATCCATGTATAATATACGGAAAATGAAAAATAAAATATTTTTATTTCAAAACAGAATGAATACAAAATACCATTTAAAAAGTATCCAGACACAAACAAACATGCTTGGTCGTAAAACAAAATCTAAAATATATAAATTAAATATATTTTGAAAACAGAAACACTGTGTGTATATATATATAGATAAATAGATAGATAGATAGATCAATCGATCGATCGATATATAGATAGATAGATATCTATAGATAGATAGATACACACACACACACACACACACACACACACACACACACACACACACACAAAGTATATTTTTGTATGTTTTAGTAAAATACACAATATGAGTATATTAAGTGTATATTTTTGGAGACGAGCACTCACTGATGGCACTGACAAAGTCGTGGAAGAGCGTGTAGGTGAAGAGCGGCTCGGGAAGCTCCCTGAAGAACATCTACACACACACACACACACACACACACACACACACACACACACACACACAGTATATTTATGGATGTTTTAGTAAAATATACAATATGAGTATATTAAGTGTATATTTTTGGAGACGAGCACTCACTGATGGCACTGACAAAGTCGTGGAAGAGCGTGTAGGTGAAGAGCGGCTCGGGAAGCTCCCTGAAGAACATCTTCAGGGCTCCGGTGGTCACATGGATGTCCTCCCACTTGCCGTCGGACAGGCTCACCTTCTCATCTGCGTTCCGGCACGTCAGCAACCAGTAATAAATAAATAGCCACAAAAAAAACAAGAACGCGGGACTCACCGTGATTGACGGCAAAGCGCAGTTTCTGGATGAGGGCCAAGTTCCCGCTGACTCTGTAGAGGCCGTCGATGTGCAGTCCTGCAAGAACAAAAATATAAGACAGGAAGAGGGGGGGGGAAAATATATATGTAAATAAATAAATATGAAAAGGCTTGCGCGGCGTGTCGTCAGGCAGGTGGCGCCGCGGGACGCACCGTTGCTTTCCACGTGCTCCATGCACATCTTGACAAAGGAGGGCACCGTGCTGTTCTCCCTCTGGCACAGGCTGGACAGGCTGCATCCAAACACCTGATCTGTGCACACACAAACACAAATTCACACACGAACGCACACAGTTTGGATGAAAAACACAACCAAAAATGTCTCGGTTTGACTCAACTTTGCCGAATTGACCGTAAGACTTTCCTGTCTTATGGCGGATCATCAAACTTGAACACCATGCTCTGCCCACACGCGATCACGAAAACATAATTTACAATTTTAAGTCGTTTGTCTGTCGAGTCTATGTGGTTCACGTTTTAAAGCAATCGGACCAAATCGCCGGGAGTTCATCTTTAAAGGACCCCTGGAAATAGCCAAAAAGTGTTCTTGTGGCTTTTTCATGGGTCTACTCGTGATCGACATGCCTTCAAAAGTGTCATGATGCTAAGTGAAACTGGCTTAAGAACCTGTATTTTCAAAAGATTTTAGTAGGACTCCTGCAATTGGCTCACGTGAGCCTAAAGCGGCCGCTTTGATCCGAGGTGGCGGACTTGCCGTTTGTTTTATAACATGGCTTCTTGAGACTTTTTTTTTTGTCTGTCTACTTATGATAGACGGGGCTCCCAAATGGCATGCTGCTCTACGAAACTGGCTTAGGGGGCTGAATTTTCATCAACGTCATGATTAATTATGAATGATAAATTTAGTCAGACTCCTGGAAATTGCCTCAAGTGAGCCTCAAGTGGCCGTTTGGAACTAAAATAACCGACTTCCAATGTTCTTTTCCAGCGTGCCTTCTGGAGGCTTTTTTTGGTGAGTCTACTTACAATACAATACATCCTGATTTATATAGCGCTTTACAACAGCTGCAGCTGTAACAAAGCGCTTAACAAAACAGTGAACATAAAGTAAAATAATAAACACAACACTACTTGGGATAGACATGCCGAGCAAATATTAAGCTCTTAAGTCAAACCGGCATCCAGGGCTGAATCTTTTTAAACATGAAGAACGAATGACTTCTTAATAATTTGGTGTTTTCTCCGAAGTCGTCAAATTTCACTTGCCATGCACCTCATAAAGTCACTCACAATATGTCAAATGGTTGGCAGTTTTATGATCTGACTCATGCTTCAAATTTGGTTGCAATCCGACAAATATTCAACGCGGACCTAAAATGGTTGTTTTGAACCGAACTGTCTGACTTTATGTTCATTTTTTACATTGCGGGATCTTGGGACTTTGTTTTTTGTGGGTCTACTCATGATTGGCATGTCTATCAAATTTCATGATGCTAAGCTAAGTGCTACTAGCTTTAATTTGCCACATTTTTACAAGGTATTGCTAGTTTTGTTTTACGACAAGACGTCAAAATTTGCCACCAAAATAGTTTGGCTTGCGGCATTGTTTAGGGCATGGATTTGTGAGTGTTTTTTTTTTTTTTTTTTTTTGGAGGGGCTACTCATGATAGACATGCCTACTAAATTCATGAGACTACAGGCAACTGGCATCAAGGGCTGAGGTTTTTCTTTTTTTTTTTTTTTTACCGAGCATGGTTATTAAACCAAACAAAACACGTGGCCTTGACGGTGGTCGGTACCTTTGATGTAGCCTTTGTCTCTCACTGCCTGCATGGTGGGCCGGCGTGTCAGAAACTTTTTCAGCTTGTGTTTGGTCTTCTTATTATCGGTCCCGTCCATGCTGCTTGCCGTCTTTATGGCTGCATGGGAAGCAAGAGTCCAAAATCACATTTTTGTCACCGTGACGATGTGGTAGGAATCAAGCCTGATAAATCATTGTTGAACAGTAACGGAATCATTTGGGGTTTTTGAAGACACCGTCTGCCTCCTGCATGAGAGATCCGAAACTCCTTTGACACGGTGTTGTCTTCTCTATTTCACGTTGAAGTTTACGTACCTCTGCCTTTCTTGGAGTCTCTGCGTTCTTTCTCCTTGTCTTGCTTCTCTGCTCCGGGTGACTCGGGCATGTCCTCTTCGATGGCTTCATCAGACTCACATGCCTGAAAAAAAAAAAAAAAAAAAAAAAAACACCAAAGAAGTTAGCAAGTTACCTTTCAGAAGCTCTTTCACTATTTTCCTCCTTTGTGGGCCGACTGCAATATTTGACCGAATAAAATTCCGATAACCAATTACCTGTCTTGTTAATTTAAAATATGACAAAAGGAATAAAATAACGTTTTTACTCCTTAACACTTAGAACAGAGCTACCATGCCCGATTCATCTGCAGTCGAGTAGAGAGGAATGCGAAATGTTGGTTGCTTGGTGGTCCTTACCGAACTGCTGACGGTGTCCCTTAGCGTTCGGTACCACTCGTTGACAAGGACGTCGTTTTCCGACTGGATCAGGAGTTCCGTCCCCTGCCGGGTCTTCAGCTGCGGATGAGGTAAAAGTAGCTTCAAGAATTACAATGCGCATTAAATCCTATTTATGCTCTTTGTTGTAATACTCAAATTAGGTTCTTGAGGTCGTACTTGACTGTTTTTTTTAATTTGGTTTCCGTTCTTGACTAATATTTGACATGGGCCTGGCATGTGATTTTTACTTGGTTCTTGACAGAATTCTTTTCATGTTGTATTGTACTTAAATGTTTTTTGAATTGGTTCTTGATTGTTTTTTAACGACATTTTAATATGATTTGTGACTTAAGTTCTCGACATGACGTGATTTTTGACTTCGATATTTTTTTTTGTTTGTGTTTTTTAACGTTTTCTTGACTATTTTGTGACTCTTGACGTTTGTTGTTGGATCTTGGCCCAGACTAGCTGCCAAGTCATGGGTGGAAAACTTGTGGTGGTTATTCATCTCAGTGGGTTGGATATTCAGAAGAGCTCTCTTACAAATATTTTCAGACAAAGACAGATCAAAGATTTGGTTGTTTGATTTCACATTGGCACACAATCGCATAGAATCATGAAAAAAAAGTCTATTTTCAATCCTATGTCCTCATTTTTAAATTAATTTTAAAGTAAAATGAAATCCACCTCGATGACGTGTTTCTTGCTGGATTTGTCTTTTGAGGCCCAATCCACCGAGCCACCCTTCAGGTCCACCGTGAACTCGGGTTTGGACTGACCGCCGCCAAACTGCGCACACGCAAAGGAAGATAGCGGACAATCGCACCCAGCAAAATAACAGCCATCGATTTCATGGAAAGGTTTGATGGACGTACCCAACTGGTCCCGCCTCCCTGGCCCTTGGCAAAGAGTAACGTGGAGCCTTGCAAAACCGTCCAGGAGGAAGTCCAATTCTTCCTATGATGGACAGTCCGCAAACGACTGCTCAAATCCACTCAACATAAAACAGAAAATGTCAATAAAAAGTTGTACTCACCGAACTTTCTTGCCGTTCTCTGTGATCTTTGTCACATTGAGCACGCCGCACTTCTCTGAGGGCTGAACACAGAGAAAGGGGGGAGTATAAAACACAGGAAGCGAGCAGCTTAGACGTGCGTTTCGAAAACAATCATTGATCATCGCAGCGGGAGGGCCGCATTTAAACACCGCCAACAACAAGGGCAACACCAGCACCCAAACTAAAGCGCCGCTAAATAAAAGCTTTGCTCTTTGATCTGCATTCAAGAAAGCAGGCAAAAACACAATACGTGTGACACGCATGCACACGCCAGTGGGCAAATTAATGGAAAAGCAAGCAGGATTGATCAAAGGAACGTAACGTCGGCCCATAACAGCAGCAATATGCTTACAATTTACACCGTATGAATGCAACACTCACATAAACTCTGATACGATTTACTCCAAAGAGATTACGATTCACCCCAATAACGATACAATCACTCAAATTCTGAGACGATTCATTCCGACTACGATCCAAAGCAAAGAGGTGACATTCACTCCCGAGCTGATCTGATGCACTTCAATTAGGATGCAACGGAATCGAATACGATTGAATCCAATTCCATTTCCTTTCTGTCTCACTCAAATCACGATACGGCAAAATCCGATTGCGTTCGGTTCACTCTATATCGAGATCGCTTGAATTACGACACGCTTAACTAAGTACGATAGGATTCACTCCAGGCACAACGCAATCCGATAAGACTCCCCGGATTTCCGATTCAATACAATATGATAAAGATAGATTATGATTTTCGGCGATAAAATAACATTCGATCCGCTCCATTTGTCTATACACTCATGTACGAGTCACTGCAATTATGATCAATCCATACAATTACGATCCAATACAATTTACTTGACACAAACAATATAGTTGACTCGAATTAGGACAATACGTGCGATTCACTAATTACGACCTCATATAATTCACTAAAAATTCAGTTCGATTATCATTCCAGCTACGTAACACTCAGTAGGATTCACAGATGATTCGCTCAAATTAAACTACGATACAGTCTGATTACTATATGCAAAAAAAAAAAAAGATATAGTTCACTCAAATTACCTCAAATCCGCTACGATTCCATTAACATATAATTATACGATTCGTCAATTATGATCTCATGTTTCACTACAATTGCAATACAATTTATTCCAATTGCAATTCAATTCACAATAATAACAGTCCGATACGATTCACTCCAATTACGATCAGAAACTATTCATGCTAAGTGTGACATACGATTCACTCCAATTATGTTACGATTCAATATGATACGATTCCTTTCAAGTACAATGTGATTCATTCCTACACGTTACAATACAATACGATTACCGCTAACTTAAATTTGGATGAAAGATTCACCGCGACTTTTTCACACAAAATATTTCGACTTTCTTCTTCCTCTACAGCTCTGATCGTACTATTCTAACCAAGTTTAAATTAAAACCCACCAAATCTGACAGCACGCAATTGTCCAATTCAGCCCACCGACCTCGTTGCTTTTCCTTTAAATTGTCACACCCCAGCACAAACACCAAACAAGTCAATGCTGAGAAAAGAAGGAAATGCTCCTGCAGCGACTCAAAGAAGCCTACAAACAAGGTTTCCACAAAGGTTCTCTTGCATCTGAAGAATGCAACCAAAGGGGAAACCTTGCATGAGATGCGCAACACGGAGGTTGTTCTTGGTTGGGGGGGAGGTGCTTTTACTAACAGAGGCAGGGCGCCTAGGAGAAAAGGGGCCGGAGTCAGAGTCAGTTGTGGGGGACTTGGGGCTCAGAAGTGCGTCCTAGTGAGGAGAAGACAAGGCGGTCACATGGGTTAATAAACAACCAATCAAAGCAGGATAACCACAACACACAAGAGCGCGCGGTTGCTTTGAGTTTGGAATGGACGCACACGTGCTATTTGTTTCAATTTCTTCAGGGTTGAATGACGTGAAATGGAAGATTTTTTTTTCAGACTTTTGAAAACATTGTATGTCTTCTCAAAAGCTTTTGGATCATTTTTAGACCTTTTGGAACCGTTTTAGATGTCATAGGACCTTGGAGGACATTTTAAGACCTTTTATGGCTTTTTCAAACCTTGTAGATAATTTCAAGACCCTGTGAGATCTTTAAAAAATTTTTTTAAACCTTATAGCATATCTCAAGACCTTTTAAAGGCTTTTTACGACCTTGCAGGACATGATGATGAAGTTCGACACCTTTTAGGACCTGTTGAGACATTTTCAGACTTTGTAGGACATTTTAAGATTCAAAACCTAACTATAAATCACTTCCTAGCTTACGTTGGGGTTCATCTTGTTTTATTTTGGTTGCGTTTGCTGTCCAAGTGTTTTCTGTTCTTTGCCCTCAACTGCTGCATCCGCGCAAAATTCTCACAGTGAAATGATTTCAAAAAGTCAGAGGTAAGGAATAAGATTTATCATCATGCAAGATGATTGGTCGCTCAGGAAAAAAAAAGAAAATAGGAGGTACAGCTGTGGTAATCCATGCACATGCTGACACAAACTGACTTGCTGCTTGTACGGATGCGGGCGGGAAGAGCCTGTCCGGAACGGTCTGAGTTTCAGCGTCCGCTGCAAAGCAACCAATCTACAATTGAATCCTTCATGTATTTCCCAAAACAAAATGCCTAAGCTGTGCAGTCGACGATGAAGACAACAAACGGGAAGCACTGCTCACTTGGTAGTCATCTGTGGATCATTCTACAAGCGTTTTGTTGTCTTTTATACGTAAACGCACCTTGTCGTTGTGGTCTTGGACATAAGCGCTGTGTCTCCACTTGGTCAGGACGATGGGCTCCACCTGTTTCCTGTCCAGACTGCGAGTCTTGGTGGGGTCTGCGAGGTGCTGTGGTGGGGAATGGTTGTACTAGAGGGATAGCGCAAGAGTCACTGTTACAGCCTTTGCTCAAATTTAACACATTTCCACTAAGCCACAGGTGTCAAATTCCGGTCCTCAAGCGCCGCTATCCTGCACGTTTGATATGTTGCCCTCCTCCAACACACCTGAGTCACACGATCAGGTTTGTTATCAGGTTCCTGCAGAGAGCTTCCTGATGAGCTAATGATTTGAATCAGGTGTATCGGACCAGGGAAACATCTCAAACATGCAGGATAGAGGACTGAGGTGGTTGGGGACCACTATTTTACAGCATGGCTTTTTGAGACTTTTTTGGTGGAGCAACTCACGATCGACATGCCTACCAAATACCATGTCGCTAAGTCAAACTGAACTTTCTAAACTCTACATATCGTTTGCTATTTTCTGGTAAATCTTTACCTTCGGCAGCTCCCATTCGGACCTGGAACCGTCGGCGCTGTAGTAATATGGCCGACCTTGCTCATCCACGTGTTTTAACCACTGTTGGTGTACACACAGAAAAAGGACAATCACAGAGACAAAAAAAAAACGAGGATTTGTTGTGGGTCGTCCCATCAGGAAGGCTAAAATTCCCACCACTTGCCAAGCCGAGCCAAGCCCCAAAGACAGCGGAAGGAGTTGAGGTACCTTCTCATTAGTATAGTCACTGACATAGAGCGTGTGCCCGTACTCGTCCATCCCTTCCGACCACCCGCGAGGCGGCGAGCCGTACTGGCTGTCGGACAAGCTGGAGTAAGCGCTGAAGCACCCGTCCTCCGAGCACAGGGGCCCCAGGCGGCCCGCCGGCAGCGACAGGAAGGGGAAGAAAGATGGCGAGAGCGACAGGGGAGTGCTCTGAGCGTGGGGAAAGACAAGGAAAAAAAGAAAGGGGGAGAAAGTAGTCACCTTTCACCAATAGAGGAGGAAGACACCAGAAATAACACACCCACATGTACAGAGCCACAGACATGAGATGAGGGAGAAAATATTTGGGCAGATACAATGTGTGCAAAAAAAAAAAAAAAAAAAAAAAATGCTAATTTCTGCTCACAAAATAGGTATCATGTGTGAACGAAATCGTGATTAACCCCCATAAAATGCAAATTTGTAGGGCTTCATATTGGCAGGATTTTAGAACCAATCAGCAAGTTAAAAAACAACAAAAAAAAACGATAACCGATCCAATCAGGACCAATCTATCCCCATTGACTGACTGACTGACTGACTGACTGACTGACTAACTAACTAACTAACTAACTAACTAACTAACTAACTAACTAACTAACTAAATAAATAAATAAATAAATAAATAAATAAATAAATAAATAAATAAATAAATGTTAATTTACTGTAGAGTTTGAGCCCTGCTATTTTTGGGGCATTGGCTTGCTAGTTTGTGGATTCGATCAGTGGCATAAAAAAATAGCAAATTATGACATAAGAATCAATCCCTAATTTGTCTTGAAATGCAAAATATCTGCTGATCCAATCCAGTTAGTAGGATCCGTGTAAAGTCTACTAATTTTTGGAAGGAAAATATGTTAAAATGTGGCAACAATATACTATTCTGTGACCACAAAACAAATGAATGACGTCCACGAAATATCAAGTTGTGGCCACAATAAAGGTACAACATGCGCAGAAAATGCTAATGCATGGCTGGAGGGGGCGGGGGGGGGGGGGGGGGGGGGGACCCTAAATAGCGGGAACAATATACTAATTTGTGGCCACGAAATACTACATTCTGGAAACAATGTGCTAATTTATGGCCACTATAACGGCACGTGGGATATTATTTTGTGGGTTTTATACAATTTTTGAGACATGTCTGGGACTCCCTACAAATGCCCCAAAAAAGACTGACATATAGCAGATAGAGACAGAAAGCAACAATGCAGACAAGAAACAAGTGTGTGCGATGCTGTTTTGGTCTGCGAGCACGGCCAATGGCGGTCTTGTGTTGTGTGTTTGCGGACAAAATGGACAACATTTTTGCTTGGCTTTTCGATTTGATACATTAACAAGCTCCTGCTGCTGTTTTTCGGTGCATTACCAGCATCGGTCTCATACTTTTTGAGTCCAGCTTTGGACTAACAGCGCTAAAGTGTTCCTCATATAATAAGCCTGGATGCGGTGCCACTGTTGTAACACAGCATACTACCTCCCATTAGCCGCTTTCACGGCGCCCTTAAAAGCATTCATCCCCATGTTGTTGTTCTATGAAAACAGCACAGATGTCGGTAGGGGAAATAGAGCCAAAACAGAGAGGCTCTGTTGTGTAAAAATGGCAGGGGAGGAATCTATTGAAACATACAAATTCTCCCGCTTCAGAGATAGTATCTGAATTAAGTAAGAAAGACTAGATGCTGGCTGTGTGTTAAGGTATTCCAAAACACAGGGAAAGCAGGGTGAAGTTTAACATCTGACACGCACTTTTCTTGTCGAAAGAAATGCATGCCTGAGATGTTTTTCCTGTGTCGCTACCGTTTTCAAAGGTCGCCAAGAAATGCCACATTTCTGTTCATCTCTGCATGAAAGGGGTGTTTCTTTTCACCTCGTTGCTTTCTCCTGTGCTGTTGTCGCCGCGCGATCCGCTGGCATCCCGGGCTCGGGGGGGCTTCCAGGTCCTTTCATGACTGCTGCGGTTGTAGTAAAAGAGGCGGCCGTGCGGGTCTTTGTATGACTCCCAGTCGCCCAACACCTGGTGAGGGGCGCCGGCCGGGAGAGGGGGCGCCACCGACTGCGTGATTTTCAGCTCCTCTAGGTTGCTGTACACGGGCGAGTCGGGCCGGCCGCGAACCGCCGACGACAAGTTCTGAGGACACATGAAAGCACTTGAGAATTTTCACGAAAGCCAAGAGACTGTGTATTTTGAAAAACTAAATCTGGATTTTTTAAACATGTTTTCAAATGAGGCTCCGAGCAAATACGTGAGAGGAGTGCGCCGAAATAAAGTCTACCGATTCCTTTTATATAATGTCATCAAAATGCCCAGAAGTTACACCAACAGCTAACTTGAGCAGCCTGGGAACCTTCCTGCATTCATCACAAACTACAACGGTCTATGTGGACATGGAAACGCGCTTCGAGATCATGGCGACACAGAAAGGAGGTGACGGCGAGTGTGTTGCGTGTGGTGACGAGAGAAGAACAGAGGAAGGAAGTCAGCAAGAAGCCGCGTCAGGTAGAAATGAGGAAGCGAAACGGCAAGACGGGCCCGCATCCTGATGCGGGAACGCGTATTGGCCACCAAACTGAAAAGATACTCTCATGCAACAGAACCTCCAAAGTGGCCCAATGTGGAGGTTTAGCACAATTTTCAAAACTTGCATCATCATGCTTAAGGTCACGTGAGATTTCATCTCACTCAAAGTCTAAACAAGACAGCAATGAATTCAATTTCACAAGGATTCATTTGTGACTGACTCTAAAAAAAAAACATCACCAGGTGACAGTATTGTGACGTCAGGAATCCTCAAAGGGTGAGTGGTTTTACTTTATTTTGGTTTTGCTCCATACAAGCAATTACAAAATATGGAATTTTTAACTGGAAAAGTAGCTATTTTTTTTCTTTTAAATTCATTTATTTCATTGACAATTCCAAATACTATCTAATGATAAATTTCATATTTCTTACAAAGCAATTGAAAACATTTTTTAAACAACTATATTTTTTCAAAATTTAAACAAAAACATGTTTTTCAATTTCCCCAAAATGTTTTTTTTTTTAATTTCATGAAAAACATTTATGTCCTAAAAAACAAACAAACAAATAAATAAATAAATTGAAAAAAAACTAACAAATAATTTTCAAAAATGGTGGTGCCACAACGAGAAAGTATCAGCGGAGAAGATCAATCAAAATGCATAACTTCTTGTCTGCACAAGCAAGTGAAAAATAAATACGTCAGTCTCAATTTTCTTTTTCTTGTGTGCTTGCAGAGATGTACATCTCCACTACTAACAAGTCTATTTGAAAAGGTTGCCGAGGCTTACACAGTCGCTGACAAGCAAGAGGAAGCTGCAGCACGGTCAGCGGGCGACTCTTGACACCGGCGCAACCGAGGTCGCCGAGTCATCAACAGCGCTGGCGTCCCGCCGCCTTTTTTGTAACAAGCAATGATTTCAAATGATTTACCTCTTCGTGCATGGAGACTGCACGCCGACTACTCCTCATTGGTATGACCGCCATCAAGCCTCGCTTGACTCCGCTGCGACAAGCAAGCACGTGATAAAATGCAGGGATGCGCGTCAAAGGGGAAGTCCAACCCCTCAATCTACCGTTGAGTGAGCGGGGACGACAGGATCCCGTTTTGACCGCCGCCGCCAGACCGCATCCTGCTATTGAGGTTACAAGCAACCCCCCCATCCCCACGCACCCAAAAGCAATGCACGAGGGTTTCCACTCAAGCCACATCTTGTCTACCCCCTTTCACGCCGATCTGGTGCAAGTGCCCCTAGAGTTTTTTTTGTTTTTTTGGGGGGGTAAAAGGCATACACACAAGACTAAGTGGGCTCTTTTTGTGGTCAAACGTCAAAGAACTTGTGATAATTTTGTCTTTTTGTCAGTGAAAAAGGGGTACAAAGTGGGTATTTCCGTGATGGGGTCGGGGGGGGGAACTATCTCTGAGCAAACACAAGTTTTAGCTTTACCTCAGTATGAAAGGGGTACAAGTGGATGTTTATACAGTGAAAAATCAAAGAACTAGTACTAATTTTGACTTTAGTTGCGCACCCGCTGTAGGTGAGTGTGAAAGGGGTACAATAAGGATAGTTTTGTGGTGTAGAACCATTGCTAATTTGGGGTCTAGCTCAGTGAGGAAGGGGCTCAGTGGGCGATTTTGCAGTGAAAAGTTAATGATCAAAATACTGTTGCTAAATTTGGCTCTTATTCTCAAGCATTACTAGCATCAGTTCAGTGTGAAAGGGGTCGAGAGAGTTACGTAATTTACGGCCTCATTAAATGTGCATGGCGACACTGCGACCTCCACATGATGGTGTTAATGGCGTTTGTGTATTAGCCAGCAGCTGCTACTGGCAGACTCCGCCGCTAGCAGCTGATCAATATGGAGGTCAGGAAGATTGGACGAGGCACGGCGGGATGCTCAACATGATCACCTGACCTCAGCGCTCGCTATGACAAAGCGCCGCCTTAAGGGAAAGTCAGTGGAGGACAATTTGTCACCCATCTGTTGAGAAGACCAGGATCAAAGTTAGAAGCAAGTACACAAAATCTCCTGGGTGATTTTGTCTCTGAAGGAACTCTGAAAAATGGCCAAAACGACCCAAAGATGGCCGCTTCAAAACATCTTAGACTGCCTGTGTCTTTTCAGGGAGGTATTCTGGAGTCTGTTTTGTGGCCGACCAAATTTCATGTTGCGATGTCAATTTGGCTTTTGGAGCTGAATTCAAAAAAGGCAAATTGATTTTTGAAGGACCTGGAAATGGAAAACAAAATTGGTAAATTCAGTAGTTTTAAAACAAAAATGGAAGACATTTTTAGTTTCCAGCATGGCTTCTTGAGGGTTTTTTGTACATCTACTCATGATAAACATGACTACCAAATTTCATGTTGCTTCATGAAACAGGTTTCGGGTGTTGGATTTTCAAAAAAAAAAAAAAAAAAAAAAAAAAACACATCTCTAAAATGTCCAAAATATACCTAAAACGGCCACTTCAAACCAAAACGGCTAAACACTTCCTGTTCATTTTCCAGCACTGCTTATTCCGACATTTTTGTTGGTCTACTTATGATCGACATCCGTACCAAATTTCACAGGCCTAAGTGAAACTAGCAACAGGGGCTGAATTTAAAAAAAAAATACATTTATCGGGCAAGTTTGGCTTTGAGGAAGCCCTGGATATGGCTCAAACAACATGGCCAATGTGAAGCAAAATGGCAGACTTTCAATTCATTTTCCCGCATGGCTTCTTGATACATTTTTGTTTTATCTACTCATGATTGACATGTCAACCAAATTCCACACTCCTCAGAGAAACTGGCTTCAGGGGCTGCTGGATTTTTCCCAAATTCCCTGACTTCTTACTATATACACTATACTGTAGCTTGAAGTTGACCGAAATGTCTTCTCGGAGGGAGAATGACAACAAAGTCTGTCAAGTCAGTGCTGAACGTTTGGTTGGGAATCTGCATTTTTTTTGCCCCGTTTCCTCTCTGGTTTGTCTGCGACACACATAAACCCGCTGGGCTGCGTATCACAGGAGAGTGCCGAGCAAACACAACAGGCACACGCATACTTTTGACTCAGCGGCCACATGCTTACACTTGTCCAAACATGCCAGGCAACACTTGAAAAGCAAACTGTCAGGGTTTAGTCAGGCACCCACACAGAATGGGGAGTCCAAGTCAACCAGCGAATTTGATGGATTCTCAGGTGTCGTCAGATGGGAAACAGAGGCGGGGCGGTTTCTGTGTAGTCCCCTTTCACCCCCATCCATCAAAGGAAGCTTTTCCTGGGTAGTGGTCTGGTGTGAATTAGTACCCTACATAGCTTTACCGGGTTGCTGTCCTGTGTGAAAGGTAAGCAACACGGAATTTGGCTTCAGGCCAACCCGCCGGTTTCACGATTTCTGACGGTGAGTATCAAAGCTAGGACGTAGGCTATTGTGTTGGTGTCAGTGTTATATTTCAAAACCTGGACCCTGCATTGCGGAAATCCCTCACATGCAACCGTCATGCCACCTTCGATACAACCTCTCAAGCAAGCAAATTCAGGGCTCCGCCCTCAACACCTCGTTCCGTGTCCGTACCTTTTCATTCTTGAGAGGTGGTGTGAAAAGTGGAAAGCTGGGATAGGGGTGTAAAGTTCAGCACCTCAGATTGACTTCTCCTGCTATATGACACTTGCTGAAACCATTCAAAAGATGTCAGAGTCATGTCTGAGCTGAGTGCATTCATCTCTTAGTAGTGTGGTGATGTTTAACAATGTGTGTGTGTGTGTGTGTGTGTGTGTGTGTGTGTGTGTGTGTGTGTGTGTGTGTGTATTTTTGATTATGCAAGCATGTAAGGGGTTAGCATTTGGACAGGTGCGGACGGATAATGCAACGTGATGGACTTAGCAGCGAGCACATGCCACTCTGGTTTCTCCTGTACAAAAGGATTTGCGATCGCAAGTTATATAAAGTAACAACCAGGACATGGACAGTGTACTAGTCACGCCTGGCCACAGCGCCGCATGAAGCCCATTGGCTGGCCTTTAGGGTGTGCAACCAATCACAGACGACAAGCACAATCTTCAAAACCAAACGAGTCAACCGAGACTTTCATTCAAATGTTGATCCCTGTTATGCTTTTGCTCCAAAAGCTGGTTGGGAAATACCTTGCTCATGGGCACATAGCAAAAAGCAGCATGCCATGCACCATTTTTATTCAAGATTGCTAATTCCATGACAATGACATCAAAGTTAGGCCCATTCACAGGTCTTCCAGTCCAATCAAGGTCTTTTTTCTCATCCCGAGTTCAATGTGACACAGTGTCACACAGTGTATCGTGCACCGTGTTGAGTGTATCTTGTCTCAATGACGTCAAAAGAACGACCACACGTCGACCAGCTCATCGTCTTCCTTTTACTCACTCCCCCGAGTTCAGCGAGGCATCGCAGCAAGCAGCATATCATGCGGCGTTGTCGTGACTCGACTGGTTTATCGTCGACTAAATGAACCCTCTTGGAAGTAATGAGGACTGAATAAAAGCTCCTGATTAACACACTTAACAAAACAAACACAACAAAATGTCCACCATTCAGAATGAATATTCATGCGTGCACTTTTCCTGGCTGGCACAACACCAAGGA